ATGAGGGCGGGGCCTTATCAATTTTGCTCTCTGCTGCACCCTGGTACCTGCTGGCACATTCTAGGCACGCAGATGGCCACTGAAAGGATTGGCTAATGCTTCCAAAGCTCCTTAAAGAAAGACTCAACTGTACTCAATATCCTGCACTTAAAAGGCAGGTTACAATGATCCAACATGTTTGAAAGCTTTTCCGGCACGCTGAAACAAAGTCTGCTTCATGGGGTAACTCACTGCTCACTGCTCTAGAACTGCACTTTTCAAGTTCGTAATTTGACCTACTTCAAAACAAACATGTTCGGAGCTTCCCTGGTGGCTCAGTGGTGAAGAATCCGCCTGGTGATGCAGGAGACATCGGTTTGTCGATCCCTGCTCTGGGAAGATCTCACATCTCAGACGTCTTGGGGTTACTAAGCCCATGCACCACAACTATTGAGCCTGTGTTCTAGAGCCCAGGAACTGCAACTACAGAGCCTACGAGTCACAGCTGCTGAAGCCTGCACGCCCTGGAGCCTGTGCTCCGCAATAAGAGAAGCCACGCTACAAGAAGCCTGCACACTGCAACTAGAGATGCGCTCCTGGTCACCGCAACTAAAGAAAAGCCCGTGCAGCAAGGAAGACCCAGCACAGCCAAAAACAAATAAACTGAATATATATATGTGTGTGTGTGTGTTCCTAAATAAGTGGAACAATATTCTGTGTTCATGGATTAGAAGACAATATTGTGAACACGGCAATACTCCTCAAAGCAATCTACAAGAGTCAGTGCAATCCCTAGCAAAATCCCACTTGGCTTTTTTGCAGAAATTGACACGCTGATCCTAGAATTCATACAGCATGTCAAGGAATCCAGGACGACTCTGATCAACTAAGTTCAAGGACTCTTTCTTCCCCATTTCAAAACTTACTACAAAACTACAATAAACAAAATGGCAAAAGGATAAACATCTGGATTAATGGAAAAAGAGGAAAGTCCAGAATTAAGCATCTCCCTATAGATGACCGATTTTCAACAAGGATTCCAAGGCCCTTCAAAAGAACAGTCTCTTCAACAGATGGCTTTCCACATGTAAAACAACTAGATTTCCACATGAGAAGGAATGAAGTTGGAGCCTCCTCAAGCCATGTACAAAAATTAACTTGGTCAGCAAGGCTATCATCAAACAATAAATGCTGGAAAGGGTGTGGAGAAAAGGGAATCCTCCTCCACTGTTGGTGGGAATGTAAACTGGTGCAGCACCTATGGAGAACAGTATGGAAGTTCCTTCAAAAACTACCATATGATCCAGCAATCTCAATCCTGGGCATATATCCAGAGGCAAACATAATTTGAAAAGAAATATGCACCCCAATGTTCACTGCAGCCCTACTGACAACAGCCAAGACATGGAAGCAACCTAAGTGTCCATCGACAGATGAATGGATAGAGATAATGTGGTACACGTATACAATGGAATATTACTCAGCCATGAAAAAGAATGAAATAATGCCAGCTGCAGCAACATGGACGGGCCTGGTGCTTATCACACTAACTGAAGTATATAAAAGACAAGTATCACACAATACTACTTATATGTGAAATCTAAAAAAAATAACACAAATGAACTTATTTACAAAACAGAAACAGACTCACCGACTTCACAAATAAAGATATGGTTGCTAAAGGGGACAGGTAGGGGGAGGAGAAATTAGGATTTGGGGATTAACATACATATGCTACTATACAGATACTAAATAGATAATGAACAAGCACCCACTGTATGGCACAGGAAACTCTACTCAACATTCTGTAATAATCTACATGCGGAAGGAATCTGAAAAAGAATGGAACGTGTATATGTATTATGGACACACTTTGCTGTATACCTGAAACTAACATTGTAAGTCGACTGTACTCTGATATAAAATAAAAAATTAAATTTAAAGAAAAAAAAGAATATTTCCAGAACATTAGAATGCTTACACATGTCCCAAACCTATACTCCTTCCATCTGAGACATTTAATGTCTCTGGTTACATACAATAATATGGCTAATGTGTTTATCATGTACTTTTTTATTGCATTTATCATGTATTTAATTCATGTGTTTGTGTATCATATTGTTTGCATTTCCCAACCCTAGATTGTTTAATTTTGAATGTCTGAATTGCATGTGTGCTATGAGTTAATTTTATTCTTACTACAAACTCAATATTCATCTATGAAAAACAACAACAGCAAAAAATACAAATTAACTCAAAATAAATCAAAGATCTAATTGTAAAAACTAAAACCTCTTAAAGAAGAAAACCCAGGGGTAAATCTTCTTGACTGCGGAATTGGCAATGTTTTCTTAGATATGCACCAAGAACATAAGCAACAAAAGAAAAAACAAATGAGACTTCATCAAAAATTTTAAAATTTTGTGCATCAGAAGACACAATCAAAAACCTAAACAACAGCCTGAAGAATGGGAAAAAAAAAAAATCTTCAAATCACAAATCCGGTGAGGGACCAGAATCCAGAAAGTAAAAGGAACTCTTACAAATCACAACAAAAAGACAAATAGCATAGTTAAAAATAATAAACAAAATACCTGAATAGAAATTTCTCCAAGGAAGATATACAAATGGCCAACAAGCAAGAGAAAAGATACTCAAAATTTTAGTCATTAGTGCTAAGTGAAATCACTCAGTCGTGTCTGACTCTTTGCGATCCCATGGACTGTAGCCTACCAGGCTCTTCTGTCTATGCAATTTTCTAGGCAAGAATACTGGAGTGGGTTGCCATCTCCTCCAGGAGATCTTCCCAACCCAGGGATTGAACCCGGGTCTCCCACATTGTAGGCAGATGCTTTAGGAGAATGCAAATCAAAACTCTAAGATATGTAAGATACACCGCTCCACACCCACTACAATGGCTATTGTCAAAAAAGAAAACCACCCTGAAAACTGAGAAGAAGAAGAAATTGGAGCCCTAATACATAGCTGGTGGGCATGTTACTGAGGAAAACATCTCAATGGTTCCTCAGTAACTTCAATACAGAGTGACCCCGTGACTAATCCCACTCCTAGGTATACTCCTGAAAGAAATGAAGACAGGTGTTCAAACAAAAACTTGTACACAAATATTCATACAGTACTACTCAGAAGGGCCAACTGAAGAATGGCTAAACAAAATGTGGTCTGTTCATATCCAGGAACATTATTTAGCCATAAAAATCAATGAAGTACTGATACAGGCTACAACGTGGATGGACCTTAGAAACACGCTAAGTGAAAGAAGCCAGACTCAAAAGTGCCACATTATCGTACGATTCCTTTTATGTGAAATATCCAGAGATACAGAAAGAAGATTAGTGACTACCAGGGCCTAGGTAAAGACAGAAATGGAGAGGGTTTCCCTTGGGGTGGGGAAAATGTCTGGGAAGTAGACAGTGGTGACGGTTGTTCAACATCATGAATGTGCTAAAAGCCATGTATTTTAAGATGGTTGATTGGGGCTTGGTGGCTCAGTGGTAAAGAATCCACGTGCCAAGGCAGGAGAAACAAGTTCGAGCCCCTGTCTGCGAAGATCCCACATGCTACGGAGCAACCAAGTCTGTGCACCACAACTCCGGAGGCTGTGCTCGAGAGCCTGGGGGCCACAGCTACTGAAACCCTTGCACCCTAGAGCCCATGTTCTGCAACAAGAGAAGCCGCCGCCACGAGGGGCCTGTGCAGGTACAGAGTAGCCCCTGCTCGCCACGACTAGAGAAAAGCCCACCCGGCAACAAAAACCCAGCACAGACAACAAAAATTAAAAAAAAAAAAATGAACAGCAAATTTTACGTTGCAAGAATTTTAACTCAACAAAAAAGCAGTATTATATGTTTCCACCCCAGCCCTGGGGGCTCAGACAATAAAGAATCTGCCTGCGATACAGGAGATGAGGGTTCAATCTCTGTGTTGGAAAGATCCCCTAAAGAAGGGAATGGCAACCACTCCAGTATTCCGGGGGAATTTCATGGACAGAGGAGGCTGGTGGGCTACATTTCAGGGGGTCGCAAAGAGTCAGACACAACTGAGTGACTTACACTATCACTTTCCTCCCAGCCAGCACCAGCCACAGGGTTCACATGTTGTAAACATACTTTGCAGAGACCGCGCAGCTTCCTGGGCACTACCTGCAATAACTGCCCATCTCCTCTTTGCCATCTGTGGGTGCTGACAGCTGCTTTCGGGCGGTTGGTGCTGGACAGCTGCCCAGGCGCTGCCCCTGTGATCAGGCTGCCCACCTTCTCTCTCCCCCTGGCCCCTTGAAGCACTGCCCAGCCCACTGCCCTGGAGGCCACATGGCCACAAACACTCTTGGGCTCCAAAGTCAGCTGTCACACCCAGGAGCCCAGGTAATCGGCAACAGAACCGGGCACAGCCTCTCTGAGCCCAGGTTATTGTCTTCCTAAAGGTCACAGTAGTCACCCTCCTTCTGGGCAGGACGGAAATAAACAAAGGTCCCCATCCATGGCACACGAGGTCAAGCCTACACGTGATCGGTTTTGGTCTTCTTAGACCCAACCCACTTTCCCTTGTCCAAACACACACACAATTTCTGGACAGATTTCCATAACTACTTCATCCTTTATTTTTCTAGGCGTTACCAGTTAGCAGTAAAATGGTAGAAAAGATTAGAGAAGAAAAAAAAAAGCCATAAAAATCCTTTGAATAACTGGATCGTTTATAAATCTATCTTGTTTAGACCTAAATATTGTTGAGAAAAAAAAAGTGTTCAGCTGTTATATGGACTTTATCCACACTATAGGTGCTGTGCTCAGAAAGAAAGGGCTGGAAGAGGAGGTTCATACGCTGATAGGTTAATAGCAGGTAACTTGGGTGACAAATTAGCGGCAGTTCTTCTTATCTGATGGCTGTAATCGGCATGCAGTGTAATATTAAAAAGACAAGTCCTTGAAACAATAAAAGGACAGCTGTGTGCCCGCCCCCCCCGCCCCCCGCCAAGTGCAAACACTCCCAGCCCCACATACCTTGTTGAGCTTGCCCAAGGAAGATATAAGATCCGCCCATTCACTCGAGGACTCGAAATTTCTTAACGCCTTTTCAATCACGGAAGCATAATTTCTGTATCTGTAATCATTCAACAGCTCCTGCTCCTCTGGATCCATCTTACATTTCTCACAGCAGAAAAGGTATCTAAGAGGGAATTGAAGGAGAAACAGATGTGGCAGCTCTTCGAGGATGAAAAGTGTCCCCAGTGTCTGCCCTGGAGGCCACGTGGCCACAAACACTCTTGTGCCCGGACGGGCTGGGTGATCCAACTCAAATATTTAGCAAGGCTGCCGAGCCAGGCACTAGGGGACATAGAAGATAAATGGTTCTGGCCCTCCTGGACTCTGAGGGAGACAAATGGATGGAGCCGAAAGAAGGAAAACACTTAGGGTGCCACTTAATGGACAAAGTGAACTCTAGGAGCGAAACTCACAAAGTGGCTAACTGCGTGTTGCTGCCAACTGCTAATTCTGAATGCATGTGGTTCCTGCCAGCACGGGGCATCTACTGGCCCTAAGGAAAAGCAGATCTGTGGTCCTAACTGAACATCTGGTTTAGCACTAAATCCTTTACAACAAGACTCCAAGAGAGGACTGTAAGTATTCTACAAGAAAATCAGGCAGGGAAAAAAAAAAAGTTACAAAGCCCAAGGACCTAAGCGTGAAGGGTCTGACAGCAGTGGGGTCAGAAATCCACCACGTGACTGTTCATTTGCATGTGGGTGTGCTCTTGTCTAAGACACTTTGTGTCCCGCATGGACTGTAGGCCACCAGGCTCCCTTGTCTGTGGGGTTTTCCAGGCAAGGATACTGGAGCAGGGTTGCCGTTTCTTCTCCAGGGGATCTTCCCCGACCCAGGGATCAAACCCATGTCTCCTGCATTGCAGGTGGATTCTTTACCACTGCGCCAGCTGGGGAGCCTTGACTGTTCATTTTCTAAGTACCAGTTATCTGCCTGGCCCCATAGCTCTATGTCTACAGGCAAGGAGTCTGGATGGAGGTGTGTTACACCAGGGTCCAGGTGGTTGCCATTTTCTTTTGGCCCTTGTATATTCTTTCCTTCTTTATCTTCCCCTGTGGCTAGATGCATTCATTATACATGAACCACTGCAGCTACTGCAAAGCCTGAGGTAGCGGTGGTAGGGTGGACTCCTCTGGTCTTTTGCCTTCCACCTTTCCCCTATTTTATGCCTCAAAACAAAGGTTTGATGTTGGAGCTGAAGCCTCACCTTGCAATCCAGGGGAAAGAGCCACCTTTAGGGCATGACTTCCATGCGTTAAGTGGAAGGAAGGCGCCACACCACCCTTGGACACTCTGCCCCTGGACCTATTGCTTTCTGCATGTTAAGAGTTGAGTTTAAGCTGTTAAATCAAGTGTTCTGTTACTCACAGCTAAGCATGATCCTGACTGATTTATGATCCTACATGGTATCTCACTAGCTCATGCTCTGAAAGGAGAAGCATGGAGTAATGGTGATGTGAGTAAATTCCCCCGAGGTAGCGTCAGTTTGCTAACCAAACTGCGTGTCATCAATCAGATAAAAAGGCAAACATTACTTCATGAAGAAACCGAGCTGCAGGGACAACGTGATCTTTAAGCCTCAGTTTTTCGTTTCTTGGCTATGGGGAAGTTTTAAGACTCTCGAGGTCTTCTCCTCTTCACTTTCTGATGGCTCCGGGGCCCCTGTGATCTTCTTAAGGCCGACACAACTGACTTCCAAATCATCAACGCCAGTGGACTCTGTTTCCTCATTCCCCTCCCAGGAGGACGGTGCAGCAGGCCACTTCCTCCTCCTGCAGACAGCCTCCCAGCAGCCCACACTCCTCTGGGCCATCTGCCCTGTGCTGGCTCCCACCCATCTCCCTGCAGGCCCACCCTCATCTGCACGCCTGCCAGATGCTGACATTCCTGGGCACCACGCTTGGGCCCCTCTCGCCCTCTCTCTCTCCCCTCAATGATCTATTCCTTTAACTAATTAATACCAGCTTCATGCTCATGACTCACAGGTTTATAGCCCTCCAAACCTCCCCCTCGAAGACCCAAATTCATGCCAATGCTTCCCTGACTTCTCTACACGTCTGAAACTTAGCGTGTCTGAAACTAGACTCTCGAGTGTCTATCCACATCATGTGGTCTAGCCATATGACGGCACACCACTCAGTGATGAGAAAGAACGAAGCGCTGAACATGTTACATGTGGATGCACCTGGAAGATCCAAGCTCAGTGGAAGAAGCCGGTCATAAAAGGCCACACATCATATGACTCCATTTATATGAAATGCCCAGAATAGTCCAGTCTGTAGAGATGGCAAGTGGAAGCGTTCGTGGTTGCTTAGGGTGGGGAGCGGGAACAGGGAGTAACTGCAAATGAGCACAAGGGATCTTTTTTATGGAGGCGGGGGATGGGTAATGGAAATGTGCTAAAAACTGGATTATGGCCATGGCTGCATATCTCTGTAAGTTTACTAAAAATCACTGAATGATACACTGAAAGAACTTTATGGTCTGTAACTTATTAACTTTATAACACTGTTTTTAAAAAACCCTCCCCTCTTTTTTCCTTTTCCAGTAAGTTTATTATAGAATATTGACTATAGTTCCCTGAGCTATACAGTGGGACTTCGCTGTTTATCCATTCTATATATAATAGTCTGCATCTGCTAACCCCAAACTCCCAATCCACCCCTCCCTTCTCCCTCGGCAACCACAAATCTGTCCTTCACGTGTGTCTGTTTTCATTTTATAGATAAGTTCATTCGTGTCACATTCTCGATTCCACACAGAAGTAATATCATATGTTATTTGTCCTTCCCTGTCTTTCTGACTTACTTCACTTAGGATGATAACCTCCAGTTGCATCCATGTTGCTGCAAATGGTTATTATTCATTTTTTATGGCCAAGCAGTATTCTACTGCTTGGTGTATATACACCTTATCTTCTTTATCCATTCATCGGTCGGTGGGCATTTAAGTTGCTTGTGTAAAAAAAAGCCCTCCACTCTTAGAGGGAATATATGTACACTTTTGACTGACTCCATTGTTGTACGGCTGAAACCAACACAACATTGTAAAGCAATTATCCTCAAATTAAAAATAAACTTAAAAAAGAGAAGCCCTCCACTCTTGATTCTACCTGCATAGCACGTTCCCCCCCCGGTCTTCCTTTCCTCAGAAAGCAGCCCCTCCACCTATGAGACCTTGGGCGTCTTCCTGAACTCTTGCTTCTCTTCACTGGCCACATTGAGCCGAAATCCTGTTAGCTCATCTTCCGAAACACCCGTGGACTCTCCACTGGGTGAGCTTCCTCCTGCAAGCTTGCAGAAGCATCCTAAGGCTTCTCCTTCAGACTCTTGTCCCTCTGTTCCTGTGTATACTTTCACACAGCACTCCAAGTCCTCTTAAAACATAAAGCACTTCCCCACCATGGTGAAACTCTTCCCACTGAGCCTATGTATAGTAAGCCCACACTCCCTTCATGCCCAACCCACTTCTGGGCCTGCAAGGCTCTACCTGCCTCTCTCCTTGCAGCACTCTGTTCGTCCTGAGATAATTCATCCTTCCACAAGGGTTTTGCACATGCTGTACCTCTCTGCAAAAATACACTGTACTTTCAAAAAAAAGAAAATACACTGTACTATGTATAGGTACACAATAGGATTGTTGGCTCATTCCTGGAAAGGCCTGCCTTCTTTTCTGAAATAATATTTCATAGTTTTTGAAAATAATAAGGGTGGTTATGAGAGATGCAGTTTGTTTTGCCAAGTAAAGACATAAGAATTTAGTACATTGCAATGGTCTAAGTGTTTTTTTTTTTTAATTCCAGGAGATTTGTAAGTCTGATATTCCATATTTCTGAACCACTGTAATACACCACGCAGTATGTTCACTCTATTAGGTGTCAAAGCACCGGGGAAAGAAACAGGAACAAGGCAGAGTTCGACTCCCACAGTTCAGAGCCTAATAAAAGAGGAAATGCCTAAACATGTAATTTCAGTTTAACGTGGCATGGAACTTCCCTGGCGGCCCAGTAATTAAGACTCCTTGATGCCAATGCAGGCGGCATGGGTTCCATCCCTGGTTGGGGAACAAAGATCCCACACGCCTCAAGGTACTGCCAAAAAAATGAAAATACAATAAAAACTAAAGGATACGTTTTAAAAAATGAATGTGTACACAGAGTGATGGAGGGTAGGCTGATGTACCAGAGTGATGCTGGCAAGAAGGGCAGAGGGAGCCCAACGAACAGCGAAGTCCTCAAAGTCCACGAGTGTGGGCGCTTGCTAGCAGGAAGACAGCCGTGTCAGTGACAGCATGTGTGTTTAGGAGGTGGGATAGCTAAGGGGCACCACTGCTCATGGCAGCAAGGTGTAAGCCCAGTAAGAGCGGGTAACTGGAGCAGTTCAACGTTATGGTTGGTTATAAGAAAGCCTCCTTGATGTCACTAACAGCCCAGGTAAGAAGTCTGGAAACTGTCAAGCAAGCTCTTTTATTTCAAAATATGGGGCACCTGATGCTATGCTCATAAGCAAGACTCCCGGGTGGGCTTGGTAAACCCATCATTTCTGCATGTATTTCTCTCACGCCACACACAAGAGTCCTAAGAGATGGGTATCATCAGCTTCCAGATGAGGATGCTGGGATTGAGGCCTTCCAAAAAAGGTGCCAGGGTCCCAAGGCAGGCAACTGGCAGAATCAAGATTCCAGTTCAGGCCAGCCGGGTGCCACAGAGCCTCGACCGTATTACGCCACAGGTAAAACTCAAGAGTGTAACCTTTTTCGAGCTCTCCTGACTCAGTAAGAGTGAGTATAACAACCTAGTAACCATTACACCCAAAGCAGCAGTCCTATACACAAGCACATGGGGCCAGATGAATCCGCAGGAAAAAACCGGAAAACTCTCACCTGGGAATCTCTCACCTTAACCACGCTTAATTTCTTAGAAAAGCAAGCTGAAGTGAAAAGTCAACCACCTAGATCCAAAAGAAGTTAGTTTTAGAGATGCTGACATGAAGGACCTGTTTTCTGAGATGAAAACATAAAAGTGAAAAAAAAGTCAAAAAGTCACACCTCTCATGAGAGAGACCCACTTATCGATAAATAATGATCCTCTGTCACAG